TCTTCGAGTAACTTGGTAACTATCAATTACAACTTGATTTGGATAATTAGTAGTTTAATTTAACTACTTTTTTCAGGTAACTTCTACTCAAATTACTAACTACTTTCGAAATTATATAGTGCTAATTTTGTCCATCACGAAAGTTTGAGCGCAGAAATGAATAAGACGCCGGCAGATAAAGTGGCATTCCCGAACAAGGGGCCCTCTTGTTCGGGAAGGCGTCCTTGGGCAAAGGTGGCGACGAGCAGGCAAAACATAACGCCGGCACGCACGAACGCAGAAAGAGATGCTTAACAAGCCTTGGTCGGGTATTGACCTAATCCGGTAATGCACGCAGGCGCCGCGTTTCCAGCTGCAACCATGAAAGACGGGGACACTCCGAGAGTTGTTATTGTTTTCGTGTTGCCTGTCTTTAGTGCGTTCTGACTCAAGCGGCAGGTTCGACGGGAGGCGCCACTGGAATGACCTCGCAGCTGGGCTCCTGTTCTCATGGTCGCCTTGTCGTCAGCGCCGCCTTTGCAAAGCCGGACTCCCCCGCGCACAAACCCTGGCACGGATAATCCGTTCATGGGAGCACGTTCCCGCTTCCAGCTGCAACTGTATACGAGCGACGATGCTTGTTCACGTAATCCTTCGCGTCCTACCGACCATCCATGCCTGGGAGACCTCCTCTTTGTTAAAAACGATTTACTTCTCAGGCGTGTCAGCCGCATCAGAATATTATAGTCGCCGGGGAGAATTGCGAGTTACCCTTGGGTAACTCGCACTCACAAGTCCGCGTCTGCCCACACCAGTTGTGGGCACTGCGCGTGCGCAGAAACCGAATTCGCGTGAAGTGAGGCGTCTGCGCATGCGCAGCAGTGCCGTCGACAGCGCCACCGCAGCTCTATGACGTCAGGGCCGCGTGTTGGTCTATACTTCGGTTCATCATCTGTTAAACCAAAACAATGTTTTTCTCTTTCAGTAGCACTAGCACTACAACGGGACGCGCAGTCATCCGGATGATCTCATCGTCGTGGCGCGAGACTTGAATCCTTGACGGTCTGGTGCACTCGCTCAGCGTACTCTCAGAACGACGTCGGAATAAAGAGGGGCCAGTCATAACAATCTCAACTTGACGAAGAAAAAAGAAAAAAGGGGGAAAGCTTGTTATAAAAGATCCTCATACCCGAGGCAAACCTCACATGTTTAGTAATGGACACCTAAGATGCCGACAATCGCTTACCCGACCCTGCACAGCCTGTTTCTCAAATTCAACGCTGCCGTTCCATCCAGCCCGTCGGTGGAACGTCTGGTTAGCTTGGCTGGGGACGTCCTTAGAAGGAAAAGGGGAAAACTCTCCTATCAAGAACTTTGAAAGTCAATTGCTTCTGCGAGCGAATAAACTATTTTGGCGAAAACGCAAGCCATAGATAGACTGCATTTATTTTAGGCTCGCAGGGTTTTTCATTGATCAAAACTGCTGTTCATTTTGCTACCACAAAAATATAAAAAAAGTAACTTCGAAAGTAACTTCAAAGTAACTCGCTACTTTTTACAGTAGTTAGTAGTTTACTCAATTACTATCACAAATGCGTAATATCTACTCTACTCCAATTACTTTTGGCGTCGATACTCAGCAACTTAACTTAACTACCTTTTTTGAGTAATTTGTACATGTCTGGACTTGCCGCTCGGTGTTTCTATAAAAAATAGACTGAAAGGAATTATCCTAAAACTTTTGTTACATTCTGAAAATTTCATTGCTTTTAGCTCAGTTGTGTCGTCATCATATACATATATATTGTGAAGTGTATTTCGTAAACCTTATTTCATAATTAGCATGATCACGAGGTGCTCATTTCATAATTTTATGTGATGTAATTAATTCCTTAGTTCAAGGACACAATCACGATTTCATTTTTAACACTGCGACACAAAGTTGTACCAATCACGGGTATTTTAGGTGACCTACATCACTTTGCCACAACATTTTACACCGTGTAAATAGATCAACTTAAACTTTAGAATTTTACTTAAACACAAAGAAAGCACAATAAAATACAGTATAGTTCTAAATTTGAAGCTGATCTATTTACAGGTATATACCAACCAGCTCAACTCTTTACTCTTGTACTTAAACATTTTGATTCAAGTAAAATATATGTTACTGGTAAACAAAGGGATGTGGAGTCGTATGAACACGACGTTATATATGTTAATGTAGATTTTTTCATATCTTTCGTCGAAATTAAATAACTGAATTTAATATTTTTGGTACCTAAAAACAAGAGTAAACTGCACGGACGATCGAAGAAACTATATAGTTAATCGTTTCACGGCGTAAATAGTGTATATTGCCAGAACAACGCGAAAAATATATTCTCAATTTAACGGTTCAAACCGGTTCGAACCTGTTAGAACCGGTTTGAACCGTTATTTTTTGCTCCCCGGAACTGAACCGGAGCCGAACCGAAACCCGTGAACCCGAACCGGAACCGAACCGATAAAAATTTCGGTTCGACACTCTGACTGGAGGTGGAACCACTGAAACACCTCTCTGCCATTTTCACCCCGTCAGTAACTGGAGAGGTGACCCGCGTGAGCAACTTTCATGGCAAAATGACCGGAGCACACGAACGCACCATGTGCGCTACAAGCACTCTAAAAAGGGGTGTCTCGTTTTGACAGCCTTCTTCTCATCGCACTGCAAGTAGAAAATTCTTTGCAACACTCCTTTCATACACTCCTGCAAAACTTCTACTTAAATAAGAGCCTATATATTGAAATCACTTTGAAAATGATCCCATTTATAGTGTTGCACTTGAAAGGTGCTATGAAAGGTACTGGGTGTGATGTTTCGTATATACTTAGGGTGACCACGTTCCTCAAGGTACGAAACGAGACATCCCTGCGGTGGAAGGGGGGGCGGGGGGGCGTTATAAAGATTGAGATTGCTAAAATGAATTTAATAAAATAACAGCTCTTCTTTTAAAGCGTTAGCAAATTGCACTAAGGCGCAGGGCCTAATTAACAGTCACACTCACAGTTCAGTTCCATGCACTAAATTGGAAGGTCCTGCATCAGGTTCTTCGTCGACGACGGAATTTTCCTAAGCAGAACAGTATCCTGCCAGACTCGGTTGAAAAAGTCTGCACACTTATATGGGAAAAAACCAAAAATACAAAAATCTTGTCCCGTGAACGGGACATGGTCATTCATTATGACAAAAAGAGTGGACGGCAGAAGCAGTCCTCAAAAAGTGGACGTGCGGTCACCCTTTTTGTGCTAGCTCGCACGCCATCCCAATGAGCCCTCGGCTTCTTCGAAGCGGTGAAATTTTGTGAAAAAGCAGGCTACATATACGCGAACCTTTCTTTGGCCAGGTGTTCGGCTATTCGTGCCGCTCGAAAGTGAAGCCTGTATAAAAGCCTGTCCGCGAGGATGGAAAATGATTGGTTTGGAGAGGGGCGGGAAGAGGCCATTGCAGTAAAACGCGTTTCCGCCAGGCATGAGTCGAACCCAGACCATTGGGATTATTAAGCAAGTGTTTTTCCGGCATGTCGCTAGACATAATTTTTTCTCTTTCTTTTGTATATCGCTACACATTGCCTCTCTTTCTCGTCGCCTCTAAGTTTCGCATCGCCTCTACAAAGCGCGGTCTTCATAAAAGGTATGATTGGGGAACGACACAGTTTTCCCATGCTAAGATTATACTGTCGAGACCGGGAAACTTCGCCGAAGATTGTCCAAAATCTCGAAAAACTATCTGAAGGGCGTTTTCGTTGCTTTATTATTTAAATCAGCCGTTCGCCGAAATCTGATGAGAACCGCAGAAGTGTTGACAATAAGCTAACAGGAGAGAACAAACACTGCCGCTTTTCAACATGCCGATCGAAATAAAGAATATGCGTTGCAAGCGAAATAAACAAGGTTGCAAATAGCAATACGTTACAAATATGCGCCAATAAGTACATACGAATAAGCACGTTAACAGAAGAACCAACCAGAAGACTGACGTGAGCCCCACAGCTACGTACGTGAATTCACCAGTTAGGGCTAACACGCACCCAGAGTGGAGAGCCAACTTGAAAACAGGGGTCGATAAATACTTCACACAAGAATATTTTGCATCCTCGCATTTAGCAATGGTAATTTTGTGGAGAATATATGGTGTTGTACCCTAAAACACTTTTTACAATAACTTTCGTCCACCGCATCGAGCGTCAAAAAACAGTCGCCATGGTTTAGATCTGCGATTAAAATCAAGCAATATCAAAGCCCTCATTCTTAGGCGCTCACTATAAGCGTGGTTTGGTGCTAGGTTTGGCGATAAGCGAATTTCATGCATAAAAACGAAACCGAAACTCATCTCAGATTTTTGGCTTAGGTCCAATTTGCGCTAAGTGGTGTTGGTACAACAGGCCCTTAATATGCTTCTGTGCGCTGATAAATTGCTATTTTTCCTATCTGCTTTCTGAGTTTCAGCATGTATGTAAATCTCAATGTCAGAAATAAATTTCAAAGAACGTCTTAAAGTGAATTTTTTGTATATGGTCCAAAGTCACTTTGGAGCCTAAAGGCTCGAAGGGCTAAAAGGATCCGAAAGGCTGAAGGGTCCAAAGGGCTGAGTGGGTTTAAAGGGCTGAGTGGGTTTAAAGGGCTAAAAGAGTTTAAAAGGCCGCAGGGGTCTGGAGTGCTGAGAGGGTCGCATAAAACATGAAGGTTGAAGGGTGCATTTTCAATAGGGCTTGCTGTGATTATAGATTTGTGTTTCTCCTTTGTTTCCCTTGCTCGCCCTCTCCAGGGATTATCATTATTCTTGTCCAGCTCGCTTGTGCCGTTACGTTATTTTACTTATAAAAAATAACTTCTTTTATTTTTTAAAGGCTGTGATTTTATTACATTAGTGTTATAAATCATCCTTTGACATTGTGAATTCCGTCACCTTTCCGGTTGACTCCTGTTCAGATTCCTAACATGTTATAAAGTGTGCACTATCGAGCGCGATCTTCTTTCAGGGGAGGTTTCTATGCTACAAAAGCTTTTCCTGGACTTAAGATTGTTTCTCTGAACATGAATTACTGCTACAACCTTAATTGGTAAGTTTTCGGAGTGATTCCTACTTAATGTTTGTTTTTCTGGGAACGACCCCTTGTGTATTATCATAGCCTACTACACAGGGTAACATCGTGCACATCGGCAACCGAACTGGCTGTAAAAACTGGGAGTGACAGAAAGACAGAACATGACATAAATAATATAAAAGGTTTTTGGCTATCTCATAGATTTGCGCTAACACTTCCAAAACGTCGCTTTATTTTTTTTTTGTGATATCGTACGGTTTTACACTTTTGTTGTGTGTGCCGCCTATTTTTCCTCACGACGCAGCATTCATTGCCCATACACTGAGCTCATAATCATGCAAACATCAAATAAAATGTCAAGCATGTTTTCTTTCTTTTTGAAGAATCTCGCGAAAAAAAAAAATAGTGTTGCGCTGCCCTCAAGATTTTTTTTATTTTTTTTTAAACCTGCCGCTCCTTCTGCCTCTTTTTACGCAGCCGGGCTGTGTATTTTTCTGGCGCCGAAATCGCAGGCTTCGCCGGTTTGCACTCGGTCGCTTTACGAGTAAACAGAAGCACTGCGCACGCGCGATGGGGTGGGGCGTAATGAGCGCCGCGTCCCAGATCCACAAACCATTGGAATGTTTCTTCTCGCGTTGACCATCCTCGGGGTGCTTTGTCCCGCGCGATCCATGCTGTCAGCACCTATCTTTGCGCCTATGTTGTATTTTTGACGATCCATTTTTGAGCATCAATAAAATGCAACATACAGAGAACAAAACAACAACAATACAGCGGTACGATGACAACGTGCTCTGTTGTCTGGAGGTACGTTAGACCGCCCTTTGCTTCTAGTTCCGAGACAAGCCCCCAAATGGCGCTCGATGCTAGAAAGAAAGCCCATTGTGGTAAAGAAACTTGTCAGAGATTTACTCTGCAGGCGATATCACCTGTCTACATAATTCTCTGCACACGCTTTTCCGCAGGTGGATTTTGCTGGATATCACAGATCCTGCAGAGGAACTTCTGTGGCTCGTCGAACAGCTGCAGGAGTCGGAATCACGAGGAGAAAAGGTGCAAGCTCCAACAAAATCCAAATACCGTGAAATACGAGTTTATTCATACCACCTAAAATCCAAGGCCTGCCCATGGCGCCTTTGGTAGTAGATTCCCGACTCCGCACCAATGAGGCAAACATACTGACGCTTAACGAGTTTTCCCGAAAAGCGACAGGCACGTCCGTCTTGGGATATCTGCGTGCTAACGACGCTCTTGTGAGAGGTTGGCGACATTGATGCGACCTAGGTGGCGCTGCAAGAATCCACCTGTGACGACGTTCAAGGAGGGGAGTTGTAGAACTTGTTTTCTGATGGTATTGATTCATTTCAGTTTGAAAGACACGCCCTTCGCTTATTGTCTTGCTGGGAACGATGAAAACTATGCTAAACTAGACAAACTTCGAGGACGACGATGACCGTATTTCAGTACGAATGCGCTGAAAGTGAGACGTTGCACCTCCTGAGCTGGAGCGGGTAACAAACTGTGGCGCCCTCTCTTAGGGTAGTACAAGTTCGCCCGGTCGGGCTTTGCAGTAAATATAACGCCTTCGCTGAGATTGTTTTTTTATAGTGCTGTAGGAGGAAAACACCTTTCGTAGACCGGAAATGGTCACGTTCTAGGCCATCAAACAAACGAAAATGCGGTATTCCCGCCACCACCACCATGGCGGGCGTCTCCCCTTTCTGAGTGATAACTTAAGGATATCTGTCGTCGTGGCGCTTCTTTTTTTTCTACGTTTTTTTTTTTACTTTGAGACGGCGTGAAATAGGCCTCCTACGATGAAGCCATGAACAAACTCTGGCGCCCTGATTGTGGGTAGTACAAGTTCACCTGCATGGACCTCGCACTAGTTATGACATGTTGGCTGGCTCTTTTTTCTTTCTATGTGGTGCTGAAGAAAGGACAAAACCCTTTAGGCGTTCGATATCGGCTAGATTCAACGCTGCAAGACAATCGAATGTGCCACATTTATGCCATCACCGCTAGGATACGCGTCTCCTATCTCTGGGTGGTAATGTCATAGCATCTAGCGTCCCAACGTTTTTTGTTTTTGTTTTAATTTTTATTTTTACTTTGGAACGCGTGCTGCGACATTTCTCGGCTCAGACTCGTAGCGTCTCAGCTTTGACATGTACTTCGATGACGTTCGAAGTTTCGTTGTTTATCTGTATTTTCCACGTGATCTCGTGTCCCGCAGTTGAGCAGGGACACTTCTATATGTGTCAAAGCTTGAGACGCTCAAGTTTCTAATACCCAAAACAAGTCTCCACAAGTCCTTTTAGCCGCATCTCCTGTGTAACGCAGGAGGCACATGGCGTGGCTTGGCTCACGCTCTTAGCGTCAGACCTTTGAATCAAGTCATTGAATCTTGTGATAAGAGCGTCGTTTTGTCCATGCCTGCTAGCCGGACACAAACGGACACTAACGTACAGACGACTCCACCCCACAAGGTGATGGACTGATAAATTTCAGCTTCCATGAAAACGCCATTTCAGTCTATTCACATTTTCGAAGCTTCGAAAGGGTCGTTCTAAACCAGTCGCATCACGATGGCTCTGGAGCATCATCGTACTGAATGCGTTCCTCGCGAATATGTGCGTCTTTGGAGCCGTGCATAGAATCCACTTATGACTGATGCTTATTTCAACGGATATCTTCAATGGTATTGTTGGTCTTGCGTATTTAAAGATAAAAATATTATTTTTAAATGCCGTCAAGCACCAGGGCCGCATGGGGTGGCGGCGCAAAAATGTGCGCTAGTTTTGCCGGTGTGTGGTTATTGAAATCTTGGTATACAAGAAACGTCTCTATAAAGCTACCCGTCACCAGAGTATTTAGATCGGTTCACCAAGACACGAAGGGTAAGGAAGAACTTCTCATTCCCTGATCAAAAATGGCGACTATACTGTATGTCACTACTTTCACACAGTCGAGAGAAATTAGCTTTTACTGATGCTATGGAGGCGTTCAAATTTTTGCTGTTTCTTTGCTTTCTTCCGTCATAGCGGTGCGCACCAGGCACGTAAACTGTATCACGTGTGCCAGATTGAGACGCGCAACTTTGTACCAAACATTATTTGTAAGCAAATCGCGTGTCGTAGCGCCCCATGGGAAACGCAGGAGGCCCATGCAGTACTTTATTGCGTTCGATTATGCAGGATTCCCGGGCGTGTTCAAACAATACCCCACAGCAAACAACTTCTGCGTATGACGTCATCTTCGGTAGATCTCAGACCCCATAGGGTTATAATATTATACGCTAGTGGTTTAGCTGGCGATGGTGCGCGGTTTCAAATTAAGGCAGAGCACAACCAGTCAAATCTCGACTTCCGGTAGTACATCGGGAAAGGTGGGTGCCCATTCTTTGATTGCAAAAACGAATTGCACAAAGCATTACTTGTTTATATGTAGATTAAAACATGTGTCAGTAGTGCATATAAAATATTGGTCAGCTATTTGTTTTTGTCGTTTAAAATAATGGCTTACATTGCAGTTCAAATATAGCTAAGTATACTCGCGTTTACGCACACCTCCTGACACTGTAGGCGCGAATGCGGCATTGGTGCTTTCTCCCAGGGTTGTTTACGTGCCAAAGAAACAAAAGTCATCTCGAATATCGAGAGAAACGTCAATAGTATACGCACCAACACTGTATCAGTACTTACCTGTGCATGCAGACGGTGAACATAAATTACAAACTGATTAATGAGTGCGGCTTCCAATAAATAATATTTGTCTTATTTTTATCCACTCATGTCCAGGTAGAAAAATATTTTTTTTTCTGACTTGAAAAACGTAATATTAGAAAAAAAATTTTTTTAAAGGAAAAAATCCAAAATACTTTTATCGTCAGTTAAGTCATTGCTGTAATCAAATAAGCAGCACCTTTTATAAGTGGCGCACATTTACTGTCTTACTTGCATCTAAAAGCTCCTAAATGGAGGTCATGTTAGTGGCACATAAATCTCGTAGATTATCAATATTAATCCCTTCGCGGTTTCGGCGCACCTTGAAAAATTCTTAGATTACATTCAACTGCTATTGTTGCGTAGGCTCTTCGCTTGTCTTTAAAAAAACTTACTGCGTAACATAGGATTGGACCCGGAGGACTGGCAAGCTAAAGATAAAAAATTTTACTGTAACTAAAGCAATCGCGCTTTTAGAACATTAATCAATATACCTACTTTTCGCTACAACCCAAGCTATAAAGTGTCTTCCTTTTATTTTCCGGCAAAGATATGTAATGCGCGCGCGTTTTCCCGTAGGAATACAGAGGAAGACCGCGACAATAGACTGGTCGTTGTCTCTTTCAAATTAAAGCCGGAATTTCCGTAGACACTAGCGACAATTAAACCTCTAGCGTGCATTGTAATAAACCTATGTCCGAACCGTCCAAAGCGGCAAGCAAGCTGAAGATCGACGAAAGTCGACGCAAACCGGCCGACGCGTCCGCTTTGGTGAAGCCGCGTATACTACCATCGAGCTCGTTGTGAGAACCTGCAAGACGCGCTGACGGCGACGCTGACGCTGTCGAGGTGGCGATGCGTGGGCACAGTGCAAGGATGCTTGGGATGAAGGCGCAGGCGTTCTCTTCTAGCGGTTCTTCGCTTCAGCGCCTCTTAACGTCTGTCCACGCGCGAGAATAGCGTTTGCGAGAACTAAGATAGGTTTCAAATCAACTTAAAATCTTTACAACTCGCGCTGTGGGCGTCCTGACAAACGTCACAAAGGTAGTTTTCAGCTGGTTGCCTCTTGTTTTTTGTTTTTTTTTTACTTCGCGAGTTTATATCGTCGTGGGGGTCCGCCGTAACCCTTTGTGACATGCGCAGGTTCACATCATCGGTCACATCCCACCAGGAACTGGTGACTGCCTTCAGGTCTGGAGCGAAAACTACAACAAAATAATAGTGAGGTAACGGTAGTATTTTGTGTATTAGGGAAATCATGCCTCGGCAAAGACGGACAGGCCGCCACTTGACCACCGCCGAACCTAGATTAACTAGATAGCTTTCCAAGGTACCAACAATACATTTCTGGGGTAGCGCACGCAATCTTGCGTTCATTGTAAAATTGAGTATCCTAATTAACTATTTCACTTTGAGTAAGTTAACTAAATTTAGTGGTGACAAGATCTCGTACAAATAATTTTTTGTATGCTGTCTTTTCCTGAAGTTTATCACTATATTCAATCGGCGATAATACTTTATTGATATCGAACAAATGATCTTATGCTAATATTTTACTTAAAAAAACAAGGTTATGCTTTCTGGAACGAAGACGTGGCAGGAAAAGGACCGCGCTGTTTTCATTATAGCTACTACACGTCGCCATTAGTGGCCCTTCGTTCTATAAAACAAAGTTGTTTTAATCTCGCCGACTGCAAAGATAAAACCGCAGCAGCATCAGCATCATAGCCATCATAACTGCCGTCAAGTTTATTATGAGAACATTTTATTTCAGACAGAAATGTCTCTACGAGGCTTGCGCTAACAACGCAAAGTCCTCTGACATTGTCATCGACCCATTATAGAAGTTAGCAGGCGAAACAGAAATACCAAATACGAGACATTCGGTACGGTGCTTGGAACACGAATTCGAATGCTATTTGTATCATCCTGTCAGTCCAATGCATAAAAGTTGTTCTAAAGTGGCCAGATATTTTCTCACAGGAACCGATGCGTCAAGCTATCGGATGTCGCGATCCTGCCGGTTGATCGTAGAAGTACTGCCGAAAAAGGAGAACGGGCGGGAAGGTCGCAGTCGACAAAGCGCCCCGACTCGTATCTGCTTTGATTACTTCCGCGTATGTGGCTACAAATCAACGCGATGCAGACCTCTAGACGGTGGTTTTAAAAGCGCAAAGGACTAAGAAGAGAAGGAGGGGATAGGACAGAGCGCTCTGTTTTGTCCCCTCCTTCTCTTCTTAGTCCTTTGCGCTTTTAAAACCACCGTCTTGATGTTCAACCAACTAGCCCCCCAATTAATTCTGATGCGACGCAGAACATGCGCCTTCCGCATTCGCCTCTGCTGTTGTGCTGCCTTTAAGATAATGACAGGCAGCAGCACGACACTTTTGAGACGTCATCGGGCGTTAATCGACGGACCGCATTCGAGCACGAAGTGAAGACACGAGTTGGCTTTGAGGCACCATGCATTTGGTGCGCAGGTTCCAAGACACCGTTCGTGGACAGTTCTTCGGTCACACGCACATGGACGAACTCAGGCTGTTCTACGACGACGACGACAAGCGGGCCGTGGGCGTAGCCTACGTGGCGCCCAGCGTGACCACCTTCAGTTCGGGACACCCCGCCTTCCGCTTGTATACCATTGATGGGAACTACCCCAACAGCACTTGGGTAAGTTCTTGTCGTTCTATGAACCGCTCGCAAAGCACGCAGCGCCCATCGATGTGACGGTAAAAGTTCGGGGAACTGGCTCTATAGAACCGGCTGTAACGAGTGTACCAATATTTTTGGACTTTTGCAACTGCTAGACCGGGGCAACGTGGTTTATGGGCTATGTTTGCAACACAAGGTGCGAGGAGGAAACTAAAGGGTGGACCAATACCTCACAAATAGGTATACAGGCCCCCACTCATTTCATTTTCATTAGAAGGAATGATGGCAGAGCCGGAATCTCCCCTCGTGGGCTACCAGCTTCGACGACCGACTTCTCTCCGCTCTTTCTTTCTTACGTCTTTTTCCGATGACTCCCAGGGAAACGTGGGCAGTCGACGACCCATAACTGTGTAAATTGGGAAACGCGGACGCGAACAGAAACTTAATCTGTGGAACAATGGTTGGTGATAGGCATTTCATGAGCTGTTGGACATATTTCCTTAACCAGAAATACATCCTCTCTTTTTGAACAATATACGTCAAAGAGTATTTGGGAAATTATTCTTAAGCAGAGTATGGAGGATTAACCTGGAAGACCGGAAAACGTTGCTTCCATGGGCGTACCAACCGGGGGGGGGGGGGGGGAAGCAAGGGGTGTGCTTGCCCCCCAGTTCTCAGAGGGAGGGGGGGGGGGGGGGACAAGGCATGTGTTTTGACACCCCCCTACCCGCCCCTCTGAAACAGCCGCCACTGAGCAGGGCAAAAACTGGCCGGCGGCGCCCGAGGAATACCAAGGGCACCACCCCCCGACCCGCGGGGGCATATTTGTAACGCGCAGGCGATACAAACACTAGCAACGGCGCTGCCGCCGTCAATGCGAGTTTTTGCAGCGGTAGCAAAACTTAGTTGTCAAGTGTCTGCAGCCTACATAGCAGATCCGTGTTCCCAGGATGTGGGCTTACTTTTTTTTTTTCCCTCGAGCCTTTTGTCTTGTCGAGGCATTTGTCGATATTTACGACATTTCTTTTTCACGGTTAACACTGAAGAAAACGAATGTTGTCTAACGAATAATAACTGAACTAAATCCTATGGAACCCTATTTACGGATGTGCATGGAGGACAGCAAGGCTTGGGTTGCCGGCTGCAAAGCTGCGTGTAGGTGGTAGAAAAGGAGGGGGGGGGGGGGGCGAAGTAGGTTAATAGTTTAGTAATTAGCAGCCGGACACTGTCGCAGCGAAGCGGCGTGAATGGAGGTGGGGAGAGGGGGGGGGAGGGGGTCACGCGTTTCGAGTTATACACGCGCCGTCCGAATCCGGAATTTAAGTTCCCGCGCGCTGCCGAGCAGTCAATCCGGCGTGAGCGTCGTTGCTAGGGTGTCTATCGCCTGCGCCGCAAAAATTAGTGATAGACCGAATATGTCGAACTTCAGACTCGGCAAAGATCGGCACAAGCTCAAATTTACAAGGAAAGTATGGCAAAGATGGGTCAAAATTCGGCAAATGTATGCGCACGTGCTGACGCGACAGGGTCATGGATCGCAAATGGAGGCCGCACAGTCGCGCGGTTACCATCATTACCCCTCACTCAAAAACAAGTTAGTACGCCACTGGTTGCTTCCACTAAACTCGTCTGAAAGAAAACAAAAAAACATCGTCTATTCAACAGCCTGTTGACTAATCACAATATTTTAAGCACCCGCCGATAATGTAAATGACAAATTTCGACTACCGAAGATAAATTGGCAAGAAATTAAGAAGTGAATGCTTCATCCTACGATGTCGAGTACGATGGCTGTTTGACAGGAGAGCGCACTACAGTAGAGCGCCGACGGGAGAGTGTGCGACAGGAGAGCGCCGCGACACGAGAGTGCACGACAGCAGAGCGCCGACGGGAGAGCGTGCGACAGGAGAGCGCCGCGACACGAGAGTGCACGACAGCAGAGCGCCGAAGGGTAGAGCGTGCGACAGGAGAGCGCCGCGACACGAGAGTGCACGACAGCAGAGCGCCGACGGGAGAGCTTGCGACAGGAGAGCGCCGCGACACGAGAGTGCACGACAGCAGAGCGCCGACGGGAGAGCGTGCGACAGGAGAGCGCCGCGACACGAGAGTGCACGACAGCAGAGCGCCGACGGGAGAGCGTGCGACAGGAGAGCGCCGCGACACGAGAGTGCACGACAGCAGAGCGCCGACGGGAGAGCGTGCGACAGGAGAGCGCCGCGACACGAGAGTGCACGACAGCAGAGCGCCGACGGGTAGAGCGTGCGACAGGAGAGCGCCGCGACACGAGAGTGCACGACAGCAGAGCGCCGACGGGAGAGCGTGCGACAGGAGAGCGCCGCGACACGAGAGTGCACGACAGCAGAGCGCCGACGGAGAGCCTGCGACAGGAGAGCGCCGCGACACGAGAGTGCACGACAGCAGAGCGCCGACGGGAGAGCGTGAGACAGGAGAGCGCCGCGACACGAGAGTGCACGACAGCAGAGCGCCGACGGGAGAGCGTGCGACAGGAGAGCGCCGCGACACGAGAGTGCACGACAGCAGAGCGCCGACGGGAGAGCGTGCGACAGGAGAGCGCCGCGACACGAGAGTGCACGACAGCAGAGCGCCGACGGGAGAGCGTGCGACAGGAGAGCGCCGCGACACGAGAGTGCACGACAGCAGAGCGCCGACGGGAGAGCGTGCGACAGGAGAGCGCCGCGACACGAGAGTGCACGGCAGCAGAGCGCCGACGGGAGAGCGTGCGACAGGAGAGCGCCGCGACACGAGAGTGCACGACAGCAGAGCGCCGACGGGAGAGCGTGCGACAGGAGAGCGCCGCGACACGAGAGTGCACGACAGCAGAGCGCCGACGGGTAGAGCGTGCGACAGGAGAGCGCCGCGACACGAGAGTGCACGACAGCAGAGCGCCGACGGGAGAGCGTGCGACAGGAGAGCGCCGCGACACGAGAGTGCACGACAGCAGAGCGCCGACGGAGAGCCTGCGACAGGAGAGCGCCGCGACACGAGAGTGCACGACAGCAGAGCGCCGACGGGAGAGCGTGCGACAGGAGAGCGCCGCGACACGAGAGTGCACGAAAGCAGAGCGCCGACGGGAGAGCGTGCGACAGGAGAGCGCCGCGACACGAGAGTGCACGACAGCAGAGCGCCGACGGAGAGCCTGCGACAGGAGAGCGCCGCGACACGAGAGTGCACGACAGCAGAGCGCCGACGGGAGAGCGTGCGACAGGAGAGCGCCGCGACACGAGAGTGCACGACAGCAGAGCGCCGACGGGTAGAGCGTGCGACAGGAGAGCGCCGCGACACGAGAGTGCACGACAGCAGAGCGCCGACGGAGAGCCTGCCACAGGAGAGCGCCGCGACACGAGAGTGCACGACAGCAGAGCGCCGACGGGTAGAGCGTGCGACAGGAGAGCGCCGCGACACGAGAGTGCACGACAGCAGAGCGCCGACGGGAGAGCGTGCGACAGGAGAGCGCCGCGACACGAGAGTGCACGACAGCAGAGCGCCGACGGGTAGAGCGTGCGACAGGAGAGCGCCGCGACACGAGAGTGCACGACAGCAGAGCGCCGACGGGAGAGCGTGCGACAGGAGAGCGCCGCGACACGAGAGTGCACGACAGCAGAGCGCCGACGGGAGAGCGTGCGACAGGAGAGCGCCGCGACACGAGAGTGCACGACAGCAGAGCGCCGACGGGTAGAGCGTGCGACAGGAGAGCGCCGCGACACGAGAGTGCACGACAGCAGAGCGCCGACGGGAGAGCGTGCGACAGGAGAGCGCCGCGACACGAGAGTGCACGACAGCAGAGCGCCGACGGGTAGAGCGTGCGACACGAGAGCGCCGCGACACGAGAGTGCACGACAGCAGAGCGCCGACGGGTAGAGCGTGCGACAGGAGAGCGCCGCGACACGAGAGTGCACGACATCAGAGCGCCGACGGGAGAGCATGCGACAGGAGAGCGCCGCGACACGAGAGTGCACAACAGCAGAGCGCCGACGGGAGAGCGTGCGACAGGAGAGCGCCGCGACACGAGAGTGCACGACAGCAGAGCGCCGACGGGAGAGCGTGCGACAGGAGAGCGCCGCGACACGAGAGTGCACGACAGCAGAGCGCCGACGGGAGAGCATGCGACAGGAGAGCGCCGCGACACGAGAGTGCACGACAGCAGAGCGCCGACGGGAGAGCGTGCGACAGGAGAGCGCCGCGACACGAGAGTGCACGACAGCAGAGCGCCGACGGGAGAGCGTGCGACAGGAGAGCGCCGCGACACGAGAGTGCACGACATCAGAGCGCCGACGGGAGAGCATGCGACAGGAGAGCGCCGCGACACGAGAGTGCACGACAGCAGAGCGCCGACGGGAGAGCGTGCGACAGGAGAGCGCCGCGACACGAGAGTGCACAACAGCAGAGCGCCGACGGGAGAGCGTGCGACAGGAGAGCGCCGCGACACGAGAGTGCACGACAGCAGAGCGCCGACGGGTAGAGCGTGCGACAGGAGAGCGCCGCGACACGAGAGTGCACGACAGCAGAGCGCCGACGGAGAGCCTGCGACAGGAGAGCGCCGCGACACGAGAGTGCACGACAGCAGAGCGCCGACGGGAGAGCGTGCGACAGGAGAGCGCCGCGACACGAGAGTGCACGACAGCAGAGCGCCGACGGGTAGAGCGTGCGACAGGAGAGCGCCGCGACACGAGAGTGCACGACAGCAGAGCGCCGACGGAGAGCCTGCGACAGGAGAGCGCCGCGACACGAGAGTGCACGACAGCACGACAGCAGAGCGCCGACGGGAGAGCGTGCGACAGGAGAGCGCCGCGACACGAGAGTGCACGACAGCAGAGCGCCGACGGGAGAGCGTGCGACAGGAGAGCGCCGCGACACGAGAGTGCACGACAGCAGAGCGCCGACGGGAGAGCGTGCGACAGGAGAGCGCCGCGACACGAGAGTGCACGAGAGCAGAGCGCCGACGGGAGAGCGTGCGACAGGAGAGCGCCGCGACACGAGAGTGCACGACAGCAGAGCGC